ACCTTATTGCTCTCTACAACTACCTGAAAGGAGGGTGTAGAGAAGAGGGGTTGGTCTCTTCTCCCAAGTCACAGGCGACAGGACAAGAAGAAACAGCCCCGAGTTGCGCCAGGGGAGGTTCAGATTGGATATCAGGAAAAATGTTTACACCGAAAGGGTTCTCAGCCATTGGAATGGGCTGCCCAGGGAGGTGGTTGAGGCACCATCCCTGGAGGTGTTCAAAAGACGGGTTGATGTAGTGCTGGGGGACATGGTTTAATGATGGGGTTTTTTGTCAGAGTTCGGTTGATGGTTGGACTAGACGATCTTGAAGGTCCCTTCCAACCTAGATGACTCTATGATTCTAAGACAGAGGCGAGCAGCGAGGAGACCAGCAGCCACGCAGAATAAAGCAGCTTCTTATGTCACTGCTGTGCCCGAGTCTGTCAAAAGCTGAAGCGGATAAAATTGCAGGACAGAGCAGTATCCTTCTAAGAGTTTAAATGACAATTCTGGGATGCTTTCATGTAAAATGCCCAGAAATTGAGTGCCTTTACCTGTTGTATTTAATTTATTTTCTCCGAGGAGCTGGGTTCATCTCTCCAGATTAAAGCATCGCTTTACATTTCAAAAGGAATGGTTGAAAATGTACCACACCCACGGAGTAACAGGTAATGGTGCCTTGATCATGGCACCTCTAACTGAGGTCTTTTTCTACCTAGAGCTTAGATGTTTTCTGCTCCTTATTCTTTGCTATTCAGTGCTGCGCATTCGCCCGCCAGATCAGCCCGCTCTCTGCAAGAACACCTCCTGCACTGAAGCATTTTTCCGAGTAAAATCAGACTTTCTTGTTAAGAAACACAGTTCCTCGGGGTTTCAGTGGGATTTCTGTGTGTTCAGAGGGATGCCCTGTATCTCCTCTGAGAGCATTGTGAAGAACTGTTTCTTTACTTTGGATTTTACCACCAAGAAGAGACTTCACCGAAAATGTTACTCTAAAGTGCAATTAGCAGGGATGCTCTCTCATTATTTCGGCTGCAATATGGGAAAGATGTGAGAGAATTTTTTACCAGTTGCATAGAAAAAGCAGTAAATGCAGCAGGCTGCTTGGCTCCGGGGGTTTTTGTGGGTGCTGTGACAGTGGATGAGCACGGATGCGAGCGTGGCCGTAACTCCATCCCGTGCCGAGTTCCCTTCACGAACCAGCTCATTGCAAACCCCAATTAAGTCCAATCAGCGTCAAGTCCTTCTCCTACACCCTGCACAGCCTGTCGGCATCCCGTGCCGTGTCCCCCCTCCACGGGTGGACATAGTTCACACCGGCTCATCACCTGTCTCACAGGCAAAACCAAACAAAGAGAAAGCCCAGGCTTCTCCAACGTTGAGCAGTTCTCCCCCTGCTTCAGCCCTGCTCCAGCTGGCTTTATTGTCAGAGGAAGTGTTTGCTTCTAGTTATTTTTATGCAGCTGGCTTTACAAAAAATAATAATAAAAATATTCATTCAGCCTAATATTTTACACTCCTCTTTACTATGTGAAACCGGTACCCGCAGCAGACCGCTCCGCTCGCTCCCGTCCTCTCCTACTGGAGGAGAGGGAGCCTGGTTGCATCGTGCTTAATTATGAATGGTCTCCAGAAAGCCCATGTCACTGTACTACGAAGTGAGTCACATCACACAGAAGCTGTGACAAGTCTGGCCGGGCAGGGGAGTCACATGGCGCTGGATTGCTGGGTGACTCATTTCGCATCCTAACGCGGTGCCGAGATGTGACTCACACCCAGCCCTGCCAGGGGCTGACTGACATGGTACTGGTCCCAAAGCTGGTGTTGAATGGGGGTGACTCAGCCCGGAGTGCATTCAGTACTGATTCACCTTCCCTTCCCTATCCACTCGCTCCGGATTGTACTACACACTGGCAGGAACCAGGCTGTGGGGCAGCTGCCCTCTGCCCCATGAGCTCGGCTCTAGTGCCAAGGGCAGCCAGGAGAAGTATAACCCAAAGTAGGGTCAGCATTTAACTTATCACATTGTCATTTCGGTCATGACACCTGCTGGGCTTCACCCAGCTATGACGAATTTTGAAAGATGCCTCTAAAGTGAAGACTCAGGAGCCTTTAGCTAAGAATACTCTGCTGCTTCTGAACGCCAGGAGCCTGTCCGAGACCTGTTGCCTCCTTGGGATAACTTTTAGCAAGGAAAAGAGGGGATGAATTCTTTCTGGTGGCTATGACGAATTTTGAAAGATGCCTCTAAAGTGAAGACTCAGGAGCCTTTAGCTAAGAATACTCTGCTGCTTCTGAACGCCAGGAGCCTGTCCGAGACCTGTTGCCTCCTTGGGATAACTTTTAGTGAGGAAAAGAGGGGATGAATTTTTTCTGGTACTTTGCCCAAGCTTCAGGTTCATCAACTTGTGTGACCTGGGCTCTGAGGGAAACACACAAACCTTGTATTCTGACACCTCCTTTCTGGGACTTTAAGCTGAGCCCTCAAAAATCACTACTCACTACTCACAGGGGTGTGTTAACAGCCAAGGCGATGCTTCCAGGATTATTTAGGACCCAGAGTAAAGATATTAAAATCCATATCGACGGGTGGGAGGGTGGATAAGAAATTAAAGGGGAAATAAAGTAACGGTTCTCTCATCTCAGAGCATTTTATAATAGATAGCGCTGCCTCTACATTCACTTGAACATGCTCTTAGTTGAGAAAGATGTTTCTAATTTTAACACGATGCTCCGAATTTTAACCTGACCACATCTAGGACTCTCCTGGCTTCATAGTGATTCCGTTGCTCCGTTAGTGGTTACTGGTTTTTGGTCCTGCAGCCCCGCAGCAGCGTGACTGGCACCACAGTACGTAGCCCCGTGGAGCTCATGCTGATGTTGTGTTTGTGCAACGGGCACCGACGGCACCGGGAGATCCCTCACCCCCACATCCCACCGGCGGCACCGCACCAAAAGTTTTCACCTTACATTTTTCAACAGCGAAACCGAAATACGGGACCGGTTGCATCAGGTAATTTACATGGGTAATAAACGACTGTAATTCATCATCCTATTTCACTTTCTGCAGTCGTGCCTCATTTTCACTACCTGTTTTTTCTTCCCTATCGCCGTTAACTAACGGCAGAGCCGAGGAAGAGCTCTTCCTCCCACCCGAGGACGCGCGGCTGATACTGGGAGAGCCTCCGTGGGAGCCCCCCCGCTTGTTGCTACTCATCTCCATAACTTTGGGGGAGCCGAGGGCCCCGAGAACGGCCGGGGGGGGG